TTGAACTCACATGTCATGTTGGTGGGTTAAATTGTGACTTGATCTTCAAGCAAAGCCCTAAAAACTATGCCACCTACTTCCTCCCATACACTTGTTCAGGCGACACAATCATCTTATAATTAAGTGACTTGACAATTAATCCCCAAACCTAATAAAACCACACATATGTTCATGTTCATATGACATGAGAAAACACACTCATTTCAGTTGAACCAGGAAAATGAGAGATTTTTCCAGATCTTGATGACCCCCTAGAAGCTCAAAAATTGAATTAACTATTATTAGGTGAGATGGTTTTATCTTGCTTTTCCAGCTTCTATTCTTTTCAATGGGTGGTTGAGACAAAATGAGAAGCCATTCATCACAATTCACCAGCTTCTGCAATTTAACAGCATCGATCTTAACTATTCCTTTTTCCAAATGAGTGAATGGCAATAAAAGATTGTCAAACCTTGCATTATGCGGATTTGATCCTCCCCTCGTCATTTTCTCCTTTTCTTAATTAGTTGATTATTTAGTATTTTATAAAATCATTATTCTTTTGTCTATTTTTAGTAGTGTACAAATTTTACCATTTTGAATTTATTTATCTGTTATATAATATTATAATCATGATCTTTATAAGATATTAAATCTCAGTATTTTTTTAATCCAATGATGGGGATGAAATAAGGAGGATGAAAAAAATCAGGAGAGAATTCAAATCCGTATTATATTTGGATTTTCTCACCTAGGCTAATCTCCTGGACCAATTACTCTGATTTTTTTTTTTAATGAAAAGACAGTCTTAATGGACCTAAATAACATGAGTTAGTACAGCCTAACAAAGATAATAGGTAAAATTAGGGTGGAAGTAATAATCAGAGTAAAGGAAGAGAGAGAGGAATGAAAATACAAGTGATGATGAGGAGATAGAAGAACAGAACAATGGGATGACCCTAAAGGAGCTTAGGGCCCTCTTATGTCACAACCCTGTCCCCTCCATTTCACAGAATTTCAACCTGAATCCATTCCTTCCATATAGGCTTCTCAATTCGCCCTGCCGACAAGCCCCCACCTATATCTTCATCTATTTCATCTTTTATTCACATCGCTTTTAAATATTTTCATAATTTAGATGCATTTTCACTCGTTTCACACACACACACATAAGAAAAAATGACAAAAAAAAAATCCCAAATCAAGAATTTTTATAAAAATGTAATATCATCTGCAAATGCTGTTAAACCTCTTAAAGTATAGAGAACAAATTTAATTTGAGATTTTATTGTTTTGTCATTTTCCCTACATATATAATTATTTGATATGGGATATTATTATGAAATATTTAATATTGTTGGACCCTTTAAGAATAATTTTCACTTGCTTTTTTCATCTACTTATTAATCACTCATTTTTAATAACAAAAGCTGCACTAAACATTTTTATTCCTGATAGTTACAAAGTAGTTATATTTCCTTTTTCTGTACGCGGGAAATTAGATATTAATAAATGAAAATGAGTTAGTTAACCCCATTGATGGGATGGAATTAAGTTTTTCCTATTATTTGTCCTTATAAATATTAATAAGAATAAATTACTCCATCTGTCAAGACTAACAGAAGTGTAAATCACTTTTAAAACTACATCCACATCAATGGACTTTCGACCTACAAGGGGCATCCATCTCATCATCTATAGATTTGTTTGGAACTCCGTTTAAGATGAATTTTAAAGCAGATTCATATAAATCGAGATAAAATTTTTCGTACATACTTATCTCGTATTCTGTAAATTATGTTTGAAAAGCTACTTATAAGTCAATCCAAACAAGTCCTATATCATTTCATCACATAGAAATTAATGCAAGAGTGAAATCTACTAAGATATTAGTAGATACCAATTCGAATAGATTATCCATTTTTATAGGAGAACTCTGAAATGTGTTGATTATTTTGTTTGGAAGGCTCATAAAAGTTAAATCTCTGATATTCTTTTAAATTGCTTTGATATACTTCAATTTGATTGTGATATTATGCCACGAATTCTCAATCTTATTGTATGATTCAATAGTTGGTTCATGTAACTTTCAATCTTAATGCTTGTCTTTGTATATCCAAAAAAGAACTTTTTTTTTTTTGAAAATGGGTTAACCATTAACACAAACTCTTGAAAGGGACTTAAACCCATACAAAGGTCATTATTATGGAAGTCTTGTCGAATTAGTTCTATTATGTGATCCAACTCGTGTCAACTATGAATGAGATAACTTAAACTAAATCCAACGCTCCCCATAACTGACATAACCAAAAATTAAAAACCTTTCCTAAAGGGAAAAAATAGCAAAAACAATTATGCATGATTCTGACTAGGGGTAGACCCACGTGCCAAGAGCGAATAATATGTCGACACGTGGCCCCAAGCATTCCGCGGGAGCCAATCACGGAAGCAGCGGGCGTGGGGCACAGCCAAGACTAGTTTTTCTGCTTTTTAATTATACCTCCTCGATCGCATATGTACGTATCATTAATCACAAAAAGACATAATTAACGAGATAATCTAAATTAAGAATAACGACACGAATTCTAAACTACTGTGTTTTTTTTCTTCTCTTGGCTTTAGTTGGTGGGGCCCTTGTATGGCAAGGTTTGAAGAAAAGGTTGTCTGTCTTTATCTTCATGCTGCAAATATTACCAAAAAGAATATTATACATAATCCAACCACAAGAATTCAATTTGTTTCCATTCAGAGGGATGATTTGAATCCTTGATTGAGAATGATGGGCATACCCCCTCCCTGCCAACACAACAATTATAAAGTGTAATAATTAATGAATGAAAATTAGTTTTTTAAACCCTGCAAGTATAGCAATTGTTTTTTTTTTTTTGATAAAAATTGAGTGGTCGACAAACGAGGCATGTGAAACGAGAACAAAGTTATTCAAAGACAATATTATATTAACGTTTGCCATTGTTGGGGAGTGGGTTTTACTGTGGAGGCTGTATGAGCAAATCATACGGGATTGGGCTTTGCAGTACCTTTTTCTTATTTGGTAATATTAATGTTTATGACTTTAATAATCTTGCCTTTCATGATCCTTCTATGAAACTTGTGAGATCGAGATTTTATTTCAAGTTTGCCAGTGTATCATGTTATTCCGTGATAAATTCAACTATTCAAGTACAATCTTCAAGTATCTGTTATTGCTTTTTTTTATAATTAAAACTTGAAATTAATATTTTTCATAATGTATGCTATATGAATTCCATTTTTATTAAGATTAAAAATATATAAAAGGATTTAATATGATATGTTCTTTTATTTGAACCACTTTTGTATCTCATTCACAAAGCCTCTTACCACTAATTGTGTCTCCCAAAGGATGCCTCTGCCAAATCCAATGAAAAAAAAGGGGTCAGAATGGTGGTAATGCTTCTTTAAATGCATAAAATAATGACAATGAGCTTTATGGAGTGATTTGACTACAATTCTTTGTTGACCAAAATGCCACGTTTGCCAAAACCATGATGGAATCGTGGCATCATGCTTTTCATCCTTCTAATCACTCAATTAAAGCTTTGAGTTGATGAGGCCTATTTCGCATCTTTGGCCCAAAAAGTGCCCTTCTTCGGAGATGCATCTGACCTCAGGCCCAAGCCTGTAATAAATTTTCCTTGTACAAAAAGCAAAAGACAGAACAAACAGGAATTGAGTCTAGTAGAAGGAACTAGTATCCCACAACGTGATGAACCAATATTTGAATTCTTGTTGGGAGAGGTACCCACATTTAATGTCCGACAGTGTCTCAAATAAGATTGCCTCCAATAAAAAGATGTTTATGCTTTAACCAAAAAAAAAAAGAGAGCAAAAGACAGAGCTCGTTGCCTCATTGCCATTTGCCACCGCGATCCTTCGAAGAAACTTCGGGTCTAACAATTTATTTTGTTCAATGATATTGACATATTGTATCTTCAGGCACAAAAAATGATTATTCAGTGATAAAATTAATTATGAGTGATTATTATTTTTGTTGAAGAATTTATAATACGTGTGCCTGGCGGGTTATGTGTCATTTAAAATTATTATTTATAAACACCTATAATATTTTTCCAGATATATTCTTTTACTTTAATGTCCTTGTACTACTGGCTGGCGGCTGCGTCTCCCAATTCGGTGTCAAAGCATTGCTTAAAGCACTCTATCTATGGACTTGAATGCATTCACTTATATCCTTCTCGCAAAACTCCATGATTCAAATCAGTTTATCGTGGTGGGAGCTTTTGGCTTGACACTTAATACCTCCTTAAATTTTATTTAAACAAGTGAGTTTCTTCTATGAAGGATGACAAAAGAAAATCGGTTTATCCATGAGGTGAGAAAGAAAGGATTTCAAAATATCCAGTATTTATAGGTGAAAACTTTGGAAATAAATTTACACCCTTATAAAAATAAAATCAGTTGATAGCCGGAACTGTGGAATAAATAACGGTGTTCCCCAAAAAAAAAAAATGTAAATAAATAGTGGCAATGGTCGGTTGTTTTAGCACGATTTTAGGACGGGGGGGGGGGGAAAAAAAAGATCGGCCTGGGCTTTTTTGTGTGGACTTCGGATCGACATTTCTGATGCATAGATAATGGATAGAAAATTAGACTTAGAAATATATCCAAATCCATAATCAAAGCCACCTATCTTCTTTTTGTCTCCCGGTAGCAAGTAAGCTAGTCAATTATCATTAAAATTGGTTGATAACTAAGGCTCTGTTTGGGTGCTCCAAAACCATGGTTTCAGAAGCACTTTTCCGCAAAACGAGATAACCTCCTCCACATATTTACTTCGTAATCCGTAAAAGCACTTCTGAAACCATGGTTTGGTTTTTATCCAAACACTCCCTAAATTGTTTTCTTCAATCCGCTCGGTAATTCTTCCATTTTTTGGGGTCCAAAACCGTAATTGACTTGCTAGCTGGAAACTGTTAAATGTTGAAAGGAGCCTAATGCTAACTGCCACGTCTGATTACGCCTCTTCCCTCCCAGAAAAATCCCATTTTCGCCTTCATTTCGCTCACATACTGCTCCCTCAGTGCCTCTGGTATTTCTAGGGTTATTGGAGTTCATGGCTTCTCCCGCTCATTTCGACGATGTAAGTCTAAGAATTCACGCTATTCCTCTCACTGACTCCCTGGTGTGGTTTGTTCATTTATATTCCTCGAGCTTAACCTTTCTTGCAACCTAATATTTTCTTTTCTCAAGCGTAGGATTTTGATTTTGAAGGCGGATTTGGAAGGCACTCAGGTTTTTCGTCTCTGCCAGACGCTGCTTTTTTGAAATTTACTCGTATATTCCTATCTTATAGTTCTCTGGAAGTGTAGGTGATAAGAGGTCATCTCCGGACTATGACCATGAAGATTATGACGGTGATCCTTTTGCTCCTAAGAAGGTTATCCTTACTACTACCGTTTCTGTTAAACACACGTGAATATCCATAACGTATCATTATTTATGCAGCGGATATTTATATTATTCGGTTTCTTCGGTGCAAGATATTTATCTTATTCTCTACCGAAATGATATGGTTATAAGCAAAGTCATTGCGAAAATTGTGGAATAAGATAAGAACATGTATGGTTTCCCATGGAAGGTGGAATGAATGATGGGCACTGTTCTTCTCTGATACGAGTACTTGCTAATGAGAGGTGTAAAGATTGTATTTGAAACACAGAATTTGTTTTTCTTCAATGCAGGCCAAATCAAAAGCTGAAGAAGCTTCGCCGGGCGTCACTACAGGAATGATTTTGTCTCTTCGTGAGAGGTATGTTACAGCATATCTGATGTGGAACATGTTGCTGTACCAAGGTTGCAGTATATTATTTTAGCCTAAAATTTATTTTGCAACTGTATTCGGCAGTCTTCAGAGTTGTAAGGACACACTTGCAAAATGCCAAGTAAGGTTTCCTTTTAGCAAGTCTTTGACATTATTTCTTTCCCTTTCTTGTGCGGTAGTTGTTTATTTTCTTCTGTTTGTTGTATTTTTTGAGAAAGATCCTCACTTTTGATAGTTGAGATAAGTGGACTGCTGTCTTAATTCATTGATTGGATGATGATCAGTGCCGATTATGAAAGCTTCATTGTAATTTTTGGTCGGTAGTGTTACAAATTATTTGGGAACATGTTCAAGTTTGTGCAGAATTGAGAATTGTCTGTGTCACGGTATAAAGTTCATATGATAGTCATATTTGAGGTTAAAATATACCTTTATGGCTCTATCCTTTCTTCAAAATTCTTACCTGGTCATTCCATTTTTAAGAATGAATACGGGGCTGCAAAATCTGAGATTCAGAAGTGGCATTCTTCATTGCAAAATGAACCTTTCTTACCTACTGGGACCACTCCAGGTCAGCTTCTACTTTTTTTTTTTAAAAAAAAACTATGTGACCTGTAGTCGTTGTTCAAACAGAAGCTTATGTGTTCCCTATTTCAAATCTGTAGCTGAAAAAATTATTTTGTCTTTCTTCTCTGTAGAACCGAAGACAGTGATTAATTATCTTCAGGCCCTGAAATCATCTGAAGAGTCTCTGAAAGAGCAGGTTTAGAGTCTGTTACCTGTGTTGCTTTAATGTAAATTATAATTCTAATCTATTTGTAAGGTTTCATTGACCCTACTTATTTTTTTGTTGGTTATCAGCTTGAAAAGGCAAAGAAAAAGGAAGCTGCATTCATTGTAACATTTGCAAAACGTGAACAAGAGATAGCAGAATTGAAGGTAATTCTTTTAAAATATTGATGCTGTTCTTTGTAGCATGAGCACTCATGTTTTTCTTTTGGGTCAATCTCGAATGCTGATGGAATTGACTGGCCTCTTCAACTAAAGCAATATAAATTATGAAGTGAGAAGAAACTGAGAGTGGGACCATGCCTTCTGTCTCACTAACCTTTATATGCATCTAACAACAAAGTCAACAAAATACTGAGTCACTGTGTACACAAGTTTCATAATATTTGATTGGTATCTTTAATGCTTTCCTTAAATGAAGTTTTTGTAAAATTTCATTGTCATAATCAAGAGTTCTTATTCAATTATTGTATCTATTCTTCTGGTTAGCAATTAGGAAGTGTTTGCATTGCCAACAGTTGGCTTGCCTGTATAAACATTGAACCATGTTTCTTCTGTTTAGTAGTGTTAAAAAAAAAAGAAAAAAGGGATCGATTATGGTTAATGAGGTGCAATATGACTCCTTAATTTTTCATGAGAGTCAATTTGGTGAGTGAATATTCTACCAATATGAGTTTATGATATACATATATCTTATATATCTATAACTCCTTGTAAGCTTCCTTCTGTTAAACTAGATATGCCCCCTCAACTGCTGGGGGGGGGGTTCAGCAACTAATAAGTAGCAGCAAAAGGTTAGGGATAAGGATTTGATAATAATTAGATAGACAGAGGCCAGAATATTCTTGGTTGCAAATGTTTGGCATGATTTCACTGGAGGTGTATGGAATTCAGAAAACTTGCTGCCACTTGTTTTTTGCCATTTCAACCTTGCCCATATCAGCGTCATGGGCCTCATCTGGATCCGAGGTTCTAGGCAGCAAGCACTTTATTGAAATCAATTACTGATTTTTAAGTTTTATTCATTTTGGTGGTTGTAATTATTATGAATGCCTAAGATTTCAATATTTTTTCAGTCTATTGTACGGGATCTGAAAGCACAACTAAAGCCGCCATCAATGCAGGTATATTATATGTGTTCTAGTATTATATTCCTTCGGCAGTGTGGAGATTTAATGTGCTTACTTCCACATATTTCACCATTTTCATTCACTGTATATCATTGCTTCGTCACTTTTGAAGAAACTTTTGTGCTATGCTTGATTCTGTAAAGCGTGAAATTCTCAGCATGGATGTACACTGCATCACCTACCATTCATGAAGAAATCCAGCTTGAGTTCAGTTTATCAACACCTTTGATAAACAAATGTTGAAGGTCTCTCATCGGAAAGAGTAGGATTATTTTTTTGGGTTGGGGGGTGGGGAGGCTACCTCCCTTTTGTGTGGCATCTGATGAACTGAAACAGAAGGGTGAAAAATCTTGCGTTTTTCTGTATTTATTCCTTTATTTTATCTTATTTCTTTGTGATTTGGATCAGTTGCTTCTTGTTTATCACTCTGGTTTCTTACAGTCATTTCAATAATGATAAAAATACTGACTTATATTTGTCAATCTTCTTGCCTTGTATCCTTTATCTCTTTCTTTTACTTACTCTAGTTCCCTAGACTTCAACGTGTTGGTAGTGGGTTTAATTTCCCCTAATATTTGATTTTCAGGGAAGGAAGTTGTTACTAGATCCAGCTGTTCATGAAGAATTCGTTCGATTAAAGGTTTGTTATTAAAATTTATAATGGCTTATATTTAATCAACTTTGTGCTCTCTCTGTCACTGAGCCCCGCTTACATAGGGAAGCTGAGTTAATTAACTGTTATTAACTGGGGCCCTAATACAAAACAGTTAGTCTAAGCTATTTCTTTGGTTTCTTTTGGCCCAGCAATGTAGGAAGAGTACTATCCTCTAACTTGATCAATAATATTCTATTTATTACGAAGCTGTAGTTTTATCCCGTTAAGTAGAGTTAGTTGTTACAAGAACCTGCTAAGAACCAAAGGATGCTTGATTAACTGTCTGCCTCCCCAAGAACCAGAGTCAGAGAGGATGACTAGCAGTGGGGCAGAGGGTGGTCGGATGCATATATGAGGTTTTTAAAACAATTACAAGGTTTGATTGGCACCTTCGAATTCCAAAGATATATCCACGTGCTTCAATCTATCACCATCTGATTCTGATGTCTTATAGCGCATGTTTAACTTCATCTTGATTTCTTATGCCTGTTGCTTGATGTAGATAATCAATTGGTTTTACTGTGGTGTCAACTTTTTGTATGCATTGTTGATTACTTCTTAAAAGGAAGTTCTTACTAGAGTTCTAATTTGATGGCAGAATTTAGTTGAGGAAAAGGATAAAAGGGTAAAGGAGTTGCAAGATAACATCGCTGCTGTAAACTTCACTCCTCAGAGTAAGATGGGGAAGATGTTGATGGCTAAATGTAGAACCCTGCAGGAGGAAAATGAAGAGATCGGGAATCAAGCTTCTGAGGGAAAGGTGCTTCTATATGATTTGCTTTTTGTTTCTGTCGTTTTATTTATTTTTTGGGAGTTTATTATTTTTTTTCCATTGCGTTATTGGACATGAAAGGGACTAAATGGTTAGCACAAGTTAGTTTGTTTGTGTGTGTGTGTGTGTGTGTGTTTTTTTTTTTTTTTTTTTTTTGGGCGATATTCTAGCCAACCTCTCAGAGAATTACAAATCAGACTAATGTGGTACCCACTGCTGCTTTCCTAAATGACCAAACTTGTGACCTTTGGTTAAGTTGGAACAATTCCTAGCAGTTGATCTAAGTGCTCAGTGGTGTTAGCACAAGAGATTTGCATGTTTATGCATTATGGACATATATATATTGATGAATGCCCTTGGTAGGTTTCTAAGATAATGTGTATTCTACCAATGAAATTATTAGGGTGCGCAGGGGAAGAAAGATCTTTCTTTTTTCATTGCACAAACAAGATATATAATAATTATTATATCTTTATAATTATTACTCAAGGATGTTCATTCGACAATGTGAAAGAGAGTGTAGGTGCAGCAGATATATCCCATTACCTAGACATGTCATCAGTGATTATTCTGTCTTCCAACTGACTATAAAGGTAATACTCAGCCAAAGCTAATTAAAGCCCCTCAGAAGCCTCTTACCATATATCACAAGGGCAACTGTCTTTTTTTTTGCTATTTTTTTTATTTGGGACTCCAAACAAGATTTCCAAACTTTAAAATCACCTTTTCCCTTTCTATTCCCTTTCTATTTCGTTTTCAGTCACATTTTATTTGCTTTACAGTGTCATATGGTATACACAGTTGAAAGTGATGTCTACGTAGACATACATTAACACAGCTTTGATTTTAAATCTTCCTTTACTGCTCAAATGTTGCTTGACAGTTGATCTCTTTTTCCCTTTTGATGCACAGATGCATGAACTAGCAATGAAACTTGCACTGCAGAAGTCCCAGAATGCTGAGCTCAGAAGTCAATTTGAAGGTAAATTGTTGGATGAGTCTTGTAAAATTAAACCATGCCAATGATTTGGCTGCAGTGTATGGCTAGTTTGCTATGTGACCTTTCTAAGATTCATTGAAGAGGTTATTCACAAATCTGATGATCATTTGAAAATAGATGTGCATAATCAATTTTATTTTGATACTATCTAATCTTTTGAAGCGGTGTTTATCAATGACGTGATGATTTTTGGCAGTGCTGCCATTGGCTTCTATAAACCATTGACAACTATGATCTGAAGTTTGCCATATTCTAATGAATTTAGTAATGTATTGATCTTAGGACATTTTTAAGAAGTTAAACATTTCCTAGGGAGGAATTTTAAACCGTAGAATGGAATAAAAACTTGGATATTTACATTCTGTTCATAAATTTTATTTTGGTGATTACAAGCTACACAATGTGTTTCTTGATGTTTTACATTATGTTTGCAATTGATGTAATATTAATCATAAACATTGGTTGCAGGATTGCGGAAATTTATGGAGGGGCTGACAAATGATTTGGAAAGATCCAATGAAATGGTTTCACTTGTTCCTTCTGTCATATTTTGATTTTAATCAAGTGATTGCTTCTCAATTTCGGTTATGCGTTAGGCGGCCTTTGCTTTGATTGAATAATTATGCAGTGGAAAAATGTTTACTGAGGGAAACTTGATCTGAAAAAACCTTTTACTTTGATGCAGAAAAGAAGTTTTTGTTCAAAAAAAAGGGAGGTGTTTTTCTCTTACCCTTTATGCTGTATTGACTAAAAGTATACCTGCGCACTAGCAGAAGCGGGATTCTTTTTGCTAGGTTTTTGAAGGATATGATTACGTTGTTATATTAACTGGTGGTAGAGCCGAAAATATGTGCTTTTTGACGAAGTCTCTTATTTTTCTCAACGCTGCTTGTATTTCGTCAGGACGCAGCTAAAGTATTTTTGCTGCAGGTGGTTATGATGCAAGAAAAATTAGAAGAGAAGGATAAGGAGATCCAAAGACTGAAACGCGAGCTGCAACAGAAGAGCTCAATGGAATATGAGAAAACGGAGGCAGCATCGGAGAAGAAAGATAGTTGTGAGAAGACATCTGACAAAATTGTCACCTAAGCCTAAGATTTAAAATGGGTTTTGGAGGAAACGATCATTTTTCTTCCTTGTCCATTGCTAATTGTATATTGTTTATGTACAATTTGTTATTTTGGTAGGTAACAAGGCCCAAGGCCTTATTTTGGCGGAATTTTAGGGACTAAGCCTTTTGGGGGTACTGAAGATAAAATGTACGTACGTTTTTCCTCAGTTTGCCTCCCGCCTCCACATAGAGGTTAGGAACTTCATTTCTCTCCCAACCATTTGCTTAGAACTAGGAGTCTTTACTATTTACGCTAATTCAGTTGTTTGTTATTGTTGTTGATGTTGTAAACGTGCAAGTGAAATAACCTGGCTTGTGGTCTCAACTCACCTCATTACGGCCATTTTTAAGTTCACTAGAACTTCCGAAATTCGAAAGCGGCCACTGAGAATCAACGCATGAAATGTCAGACACGATTGTGCGTCATTGTGGTTAGTGATAGCAGAATAATACTTTATCAAAATAAAAAAATTAAGGCAAATAGGTTTCGCAAATTTCATTCAATACCAAGTCAAAAAAAATTTTGCAAATTAAATTTTCATATGTATAAATTATATCATTTATATGTCAAATTTATAAATGAATGTTAGAAGTTCATGTTTACGAATCAGAGTTACGTCAGTCAAACTTGTAAATACTAAATTTTCAAAAACTAAATGAAATTTGGGAAACTTATCTCTTTAATTTTTTTTTTTAATCTAAAACCTATTGGTGAACCTTCCTACAATTTTTCTTTGATTTTTTTGGCAAGCGACCTTCTATGTTCCGTTTCTACTCTTCTCTTGAGAAAACTTGCGAGGAAAACCAACAAATCCAATGTCTGCAATATATCCAAAGCGCTCTACTTAGATCACATCAATTTGAAACCAAGTAAATGTAGGTCTGAAGCAAATTCTCTGGTTCAACCTCCTAATTTGAAGCGTGTGCCCTAAGCACAAACCCCAGTTTCTAGAAATTCCTCGCTGATGGTGGTCGAGAACATAACAAGACTAGAAACTCTAAACTGCGGATTGCTGTTTCAAGAGGCTCTTCCATCACTACATCCGGTATTTTCAGTTGTGCTTTATTCTAAAGGATGGGTCACTACATCTGAACATGCAGATGTGAGAGAAAAGGTTAAAAGCCTAATCCCTATCCCTTCAAGCCTTATTTATTCTCTTTTTTCTTCTTTCCACTCTCTTCAGGGGCATTTACTTCAGAGGATCTGAGAGAATGTATACTAACCATAACAAACCATCAAATTTCTCTTTTACGATCCAATTTCTCTGACTTTTTCTACTCATCACCTCATCATTGTCCCACTGTTGAATTACTTGCTCAGGGGCACGTGTAAAACTAGCCATGGACCACGAGAATACCATTGTTATTTTACAGATTCTGACCCATAATTCCTCTATTCTGATTCCATATTTCAGATGGGAATATTGATCTTTTTGAATGCAGCCCGCCTCAGCTTGGTAAGGTCTCTGGTCTTGACCAAGAAATTCATAATGTCGAAGATATCCATGCTAGAACCCCCCAGTGGGATGTACAGTTGGCGCTGTTGCTCTCTTATTGCTCCTCCAATAAAAGACGAAGAGAGGAGCCACACTCTTCTTCCTGCCAGGGCAGCTGTTTAAAGATAACCATCTCCATCTAGTCTTGATGCATCAGGTATCGCTCTAACCGATTTCCCATATCATTATAAGATGATGAGGAAAACTATCCGAATACCAGAGGTTGGACGGCAGCAGTACCAAACAACGAACATTAAACAGTACAGTATGACTAGCGTTTTTTCCCATGGCGAGACCACCCCAAACCTGCATTGCCAATGTTTCCAACAGGCTGAATAGGTTCCAACAAGCCTTTTGTAGAGCTGCCAAGCCTTTCCCCCTGCAAGAATCAAAGGTATAAGTGAACCAGAAACTGAGAATCTACTGAGGGCCATATGGCAGTCTGTAATCAAAATTCTACATGATATTCAGAGCTTTGAATGTACCTCCTTCCAACCCATGGTTTTCATAATTTTTCTAGCATAACTACCAGCCCCAAATGACATTTCCAGTGCCTCAGCTGCAGCTCCTTGTGGACAGTCCGCAACAGGTGATGACGGTGTATCATTGTCACCAGCAACTGGATTCTTCTGTCCTGGACCCACACTAAAAGCACCGTGCAACATTCTTCTTTCAGCAGCTCTATCTCTGTACTGACAGGTTCTTTTCTGGCACAGCAGCGACAATGTAAACAGCTCAAATAAGCTTTAGAAGTCATAAGTCTATTTTTGGCACTACCTTGTTAGTTGGCATTGACATATATATATAAACTAGTTAATGAGTTTGGCACACTTTCCTATGTTGTCTGAATGGAATGAGAGGGCTTGCCTAGTTTTTAAATCAAAATACACACCTTAGATGCGGCTAACTGATTTGGCAGCACAGGTAGACCTTTGTCCTTGCATACTCCACCAGAAGCTGATGCAGAACTTTCACTGGATTTAGATATATGGGTAGTATTCCAATCAGATGATAATGGAGGAAATCCCCATTCCTTTGTAGGATTGGCAGAATCATATGTTGACAGTGAAGCTAAATAACTTGCACTGGGATTTCGCAATTTGTACACTTGTCCTGGTGAAAAGCAGCCATACTTAATCCAGGAAATATTTCTAGTATTATCACACCACTACAAATCCCAATATTCAAAATTTTCCACATAAGCTGCCATCCTTGACGGTTGATTCCAGCTCAACATGATAAAGAAATTCATATGACAAATTCTAAAGGCTAAAAGATACATTTGGTCCTATAACTTTGTACAAAATTTCAATCTGTATACTTTTAATCCTTTAACCCTAAAATTTTTTAAAAAGATGATGACATTAAGATCTGAAATGTTGATAAAATATTCTCAAATGCTAACATATTAAGTTTAATTTTCAAAATATTCATGATTGTTACAAAAAAATCATCATTGAAGCCTAATGATTTTAGAATTAAAGTACCAAATGTATGCTTTTTAAAGTTAAGGGACTAAATTAAAACTTTGTATAAAGTTAAAAGACCAAGTGTAAACTTAGCCAATTCTAAATAGATACTGAGTTTTCAATAGAATAATAGAATTGGAAATCTGTTATTGCAGAGAGAGCATGAGCATATGAATGGAAAAGAGTGCAAGAAAATTTCAAATTAAATACCCATCACCTCTTGCATATAACATACTAATAATTAGGTCTTCTTTAACATGGTGATGTATATAATTATGTATCCAAGAACAAAATGCAGACCTGTTTTGACTCGTACCAGATCGAGATGAGCTTCACAGATAGGAGCAGATCTTAATTTTCCGCCACCTGAGGGCATAGAAGGATGAAGCTTAGTGGATCGTTTCACTAATCTTCCAACCAACCTGGCCACCTCATCTTTCCATCTTTTCGTGTCCTCGAACCATTTCCCATTCCCACAAGTCCACTGCTGGAAACTCAGAACCCACCTCTTTTCTGAATCAATGACTTGGCCATACTGAGCACGCCATCTCTCTTCATCTGTTGAAACGTTTGTAATGGTCCATAGCAAGTAATAAAAATGAATAGAAGGATTTTCAACGGAGGTAGACCATATGCCTAAAGTCCTAAACTGTAATGAAGATTGTTATACTTCCCCAAAGCCATAGTGCTTTTGTTCACTTTAAAAAGCTTCACCAAACAGGCAACTAATTGCTCAAGACACAAGTGATAAGATGAAGGCAAATGACACCTCTGTTGCGTTCAGAGGTTTTGTGCATGTGTGTGTACATGCATATGAAAGCAGAGTACCTTCATCTATGTCAGCTATGCCATTTTCATCCTCTGGGATCCATTCACCTTCTTCCAATTCATAAGTATTGTTATTCTGGGTACCTAGGCGAAACAGGACCATTAGAAACTTTCTTAGATATCCGAATTTCACTTTATTTTCTACAAGACCATGGAGATTGGAGGATGCAAACAAACCATCTGCTGCTAACTCAGCTCCATCATCTGTTTCCAGGGGCATTACTGCTGTATCAGCTACAGCTGGGTTGTTGTAGCCAGACAAGTAAAGATCAATTAATGTGTCCTCTAACCTGCAATTAGTGAATGGATAATATTTTAGGGGAGAAGAGTACAGAATAAGAGAAATGATGAACAATGAGGATGTGGAAGATGCATACCACTCAGATGGTGGAGGAGGAGGTTTCTCAGAAGTTGGACTACTTGTGCAATCCACGGGAGCTGCTAAAAAAGAACTACTTAATAACCGGCGCTTCTCACATCAATGAGTGCTGTGTGTATGAACATATTCAAAGCTATCGTAGCTGGCATATTTATGAATAAATAGTTTCACTTCCAAATAAAGTAAAAAATAAAGTAAAACAGTTACATTCCTCACCATGAGAAAATCCATCAGCAACAGTTCCCATCTGTTGATGCCAATCTGATGTACCTTCAATAAAGGTAGAATAAATCTCCTCATTGTCACCATATATTTGTTGACAAGAACCACCTAGTAAAGGAGGGTCTTGCGGTGCAACATTATTGGAAAGGAATGTTTCTCCATCATCAGCCTGGGTGGGACAATATGCAAAAGAATTTAAATCATGAAATTAAAATGATCATAATATAAGACTTTATTTAAGATAACATTAACTGAAGCGCATTTATAATAATCATGAACTTACCTCATTGGAACTTATAAGTACGTAATTGCCGTCCTCAAATTTGTAATATTGACCATCCTTGCTGCTATAGTACCAGCCAGCACTAGGGTCATGGTAAAATCCACTACTGCGGGAAGTTACCCATTCCCCAAAGAACCCAAAAAAAAAAAAAAAAAGAGGAGAAGATTAATTGCCATATATTAATACGAAAAGCACAGTAACAAATCTTCTGGTCAATTTTGTAATTTCCACATCCTCGATGTTGAAAATTGAGCATTTGAGCTGAACGAAACATTGATTGTGATTGTGAAGCTAGAATGAAACACAAGGGGGGAAAAGGAATTCTGCTCCTGACGTTAACCTTATCGAAACTTTGAAAATAGCTAAATTAACAACTTGACGGGATTAAACACCAGTACAGAATCAAACAATCGTTCTGCAGTTGTAAATGACCATATAAATAACTAAAGCATCCTAAATGGCATTTCATACGAGTTCTACGAAACCTGAACATCCTTGTGCTTGCAAGATAACTAGGAATATACGGAATACCGAATCAACAGACACAAAAATAATAACAGACAAATGTTCGAAATTCAAAGAAAACCTGGCATGGAAGTAGAGCTGAGAATTCT